GCTATGGGGGCGGGGGATGACAAGAAGCAGGTGTGACTCTCTAGCCACCATGGGCCCCTAGGGTGATTACCCTGACCCCGTACCTCATAATGGACCCAGTGAGGCCAGAGTAGATCGTTCAGATGAGGCCCAGAGACCACAAAACCTCCAGGGCCTCTGTGCCACATTGCTGGCCTTAGCCTAGCCAGGCAGTCTGTCAGGCATGCCTTAGCTGAGAGAGAAAGCGCGAGAAACTGCAGCCTCTGGGAGATATTAATCAGCCCGCCTGTGGAAAAGGCTTCCCGGTTGGGCTGACGCAAGTATCAGGGGTGGAATAATCACTGTCTTCCAGGGGTTAGACACCAGCAAGGCCCAGGGGAAGGGAGGAAGTGGGTTTCTGTGATTTTACCAAAGCTGTTTCTGTAGATTAAGACCTCAAAGAAGACTCCTAGGGAGGCACAAGTTCCTCTTCTTGCTAAAATGACATCATAGAGGTGACAAGTACCCAGTTACCTGCAGTGGGGGTAGCTAGGTGGCCCCCTGACAATCACGTTGGATGTATAGGACTGGGATTTTTCATTGTCCCTGGTTCCCTGGGCAGCAGCAGGTATCAAGTTGCATACAAAGGGTCTCTCCTGGGACCACATCTGCCTCCTTTGATCAGGCCTTTTACTTCTTTCAAGCTTTGGTGGCCTGCTCTCTTGGGCCCAGGCCCCTGCCTCAGGGGTGTCCCATTCCTCTGACCATCAGAGGTGTGGGTCTTCCCATCTAACTCACTCTCTGACACTAGGCTGTCAAAACCCCTCAAGGTCACCCCAGAAAACAAACTCCGGGCCACTCAACCCTACTGTTCCTCCACCTCTGACCCCATCTCCTTCAGGGTCTGACCTATCTCAGAGAGGACACAGAAGCCATTTTTCCCCTCTTCACATTAAACCTGGGACCCCAACACGCTATACCTTCTGCACCAGACAGGTGGGACCCTCACAGGCAGCCTTGTCCTAAGGTCTCTGTCGAGGGGATGCTGTGACCTCTGGTGAGGGGGCCCTTCCTGTGTAAGTCCCATGAGGCATGTGTTCACCCGGCACCCAGGTGAACAGGCGTATCTTGTACACCACCAGCCGGTTTGTCCCTGTCTGGAAAGGTCCTTCTCTAAATCTATGACTCCGCTAGCTGCTGCCATGCTTCAGAGACTCTTGTAGAGGACCTGGGTTCAGTTCTCCACACCCACATGGCGGCTCACAACTATCTGTAACTCCAGTTCCAGGGGGACCAACACCCTCTTCTGGTTTCTGCAGGTACTGGGCAGGCACATGGCACGCATCCATACATGCAGGCAAAACATCACATGCACAGAGTAAATATACAAAGTGAGAACAAATTTTAAAAAGGACACATTTGGAGAGTCTTCTGTTTTCTTGCTCATTCCTCAGCCCAAGGCCACTGGCTTCCACCCAGCATCCCAGTGTGGCTGTTTCCAGAAGCTTCAAGACTTTCTCATCGAAATAAGACACGTCCTCCTCGTGCTACTGGCCCCTCCAGCCATGCCGAATCATCTCCTAAATCCGCCCCTTTCTGTGCTGTGGAGGGGACACCTGGCCTCTGGGGCCAGACTGACCTATTCACATTCAGTCCTGGTGATGTCACCTCAGGCCAGACTCTCTGAACCTCAGTGTCCTCATCTGTAAAATGGAGGTAATGATAGCCCTGCCTGATAGGCCTGTCGCTGTCACTTCACCATGACAAGGACTTCGCTCGTGACACCTCCTCAGTGCCGCTTGATAGGCTTAGCTGCGACAGCCCTGAGCACCAGCCCTGAGCACCATCTAGATCTCCCCATCCCTATCAGAACCGAGTCCAGCCTCTCCACTCTTTAGGCCCAGAGGGATCCCCCGAGCCCTCCTCTGACTGCTTCCCAATGTCTCAGCCATCTCAAACTAGACAAGGCTTCCTGGGACACTTGACTGTATCCTCTTGCTGGCCACCAACATGTTTTAATGCTATAGCATGAAGAATCATTCCCTTTCGATAAACTTTATAATTACTTTTATTGATTGAAAGTGTCGTTATTAGTATTTGAGATAGCTTCTTGTCACATTGCCCAAGTGGCTTCAAACTCCTGTGCTCAGATGATCCTCCTGCCTCTGAGCAGCTGGGACTACAGGTCAGCTACCATATCCAGCTTAGTATCATATTTCCAACAAGAAATAAACCCTACTAATGCCAACGTTCCCTCCTTTCCCTTTTCTCTTTAAAAACAAAAAACAAAAAAACCCGGTTTCTTTCTTTGTGTGTGTACGCTAGATGTGTACATGTATATATGCATGTGTATATGTGTATGACGTGTATTGTATGTGAACCTAAGTGGTGCATGCATATGTGTGTACATGCATGTGTGTGCACCTGTGTGTGTGCATATGTGTGCCTGTGCAACTGCGTACGTGTGTGCAGAGGGTACCTATGCCAGTACACACACGTGAGGCCAGAGGAAGACCTCTGGTGCCCTGCTCTCTCCTCTCCACCTTAAGAGGATATCTCCCACTATACCTGGAGCTGGGCTGGCAGCCAGCAAGCCCTGCAATCCTGTCTGTGGTTTGCCGTGCTTGGATTACAGGCACACATGGCTGGCTATGCCTGGTGGCACACGTGGCTGTGCCTGGCTTTTTATGTGGGCGTTGGAGATTCAAGTGCTCTTACGCGCTAGGCATCTTCCTGGTCCCTGCCATTTTTTTTTTCTAAACACCAGTGCGGATTCGTTGTACAAAAGGGAAGGTCTCATTATGGCATTTTCATAAACCTTGCTCGTACCCTACCGCCCCCACCGTCTCTACACGTCCACCAGTGCTGCTGGCAGGTCTTCATCGCTACAACACAAAACCAGGACTTTTAAGCAGGCAAACAACAGACGGAAGAATGCTTTGCCACCACAGCTTTAAAACTCTTAGTTTTGGAGCTGGGCATGGTGGTGCATGCCTTTAATCCCAACACTCAGGAGGCGGAGGCAGGCAGATCTCTGTGAGTTCAAGGCCAGTCTGGTCTACAGAGTGAGTTCCAGGACAGCCAAGACTAAACAGAGAAACCCTGTCTTGAAAAACCACAAAAAAAGTTCATTGTTTTTGTTTTGAATTCTCTCAAAAAAAAAAAAATCTTACTTACATAAAAACAGAGGTTTTCCTCAGTGAGGAATCACGCTCTGCATGCTCCAGTCTCCAAAGCGCTTATACCAAAAGTAAGAGCAAGCAATGATAGGGAACTCAGGGAACAAAGCCCGGCCCTGGAGCGCTGGGGACCTCGTCTGAGTTAAAGTCACTGGTAGGTGTGAATCAGAGCTCCTCAAATGCCACCCAGGGTCTCACCAGAATGAAAACCTTTGGTTCTGAAAGCCGAAGGTGCCATGCTGACATTGCAGTCCTGAGGACCCCGGAAAGAGGAATGAGGCGTTAGTCCACCTTTCCTCAAGGCTGGGGTCTGTTTTATCTAGGGCGCCTGCACACAGCAGTTGCAAGTCATTTGGCTGGGTAATGCCTCCTGGGCTCTCAGACTAGTCCCAAGACTCCCCCATGCTGCCTACTGAGATTTCCCTTAGTTATGGAGCATGCTCTTATCCGCATCCGGGAGTCAAGGCCCCTAGCACAAGCTCTGCTTGGCTGGGCCGGGAGTTCACGGGCCATAGACACTCGTCCCCTCAATCGAAGCCTTTACTTCCCTTGCCGCTACACGCTTATCTTTCACCATAGTTGCTTCTGCTCTGAAGACAGAAGCACTCAATTTCCCCTGCCTCAGCACAACGTGCTAGTCTTCATCTTCATCTCCCCATGCTGATCACATCATACCACATCCCAACCCGAGGCCTCGTTTCTCCACCGGATTCCCCGTAGCCCAGCCCGGTTATCTTGAAGAAACATTTTTCTAGCTCCATCACATACATCTTCTTAGCAAAACTCCAGCTCCCCATGTGTCATGGCCTGTTGACATGCCTCATGGGCAAGGGAGCCACCTCATCCTTCAGGGACTGTCCCCTGGCTCTCTACCCTGCTGGCTTTCCCACTTTCTTTCTGGATGTGGTTTCTCAGGTCCTTTGCGGACTCCCCCATAACCGTCCCTGTTCGCTTCCCACCTCTGCAGGCCAGCACCTCTGCATTCATGCTCCAGGGTGGACTGGAATGTAAACCCCTCACTAGAGCTTTCCTTCAGGGAGCTGCTCTCCTCTCTCCTCTCTCCTCTCTCCTCTCTCCTCTCTCCATGTACCCTCCTCGCTCAAACTTGTCAACGCCACCTGCTCAGCCTTCCAGCACCATGCTTCCTCCAACTCCCAGTGACATTGTTCCCGAGGGCCACCTTCGTCCTTAAGTCTCCAAGCCCAATTATGTGTGCTATTAGAAAGAAGACCCAGGACTTGTAGCCATATCTCCATCAAGGGCTTTCTCCTCTAGACATGGGCCTCAGCATATTGTCCCACTGCACTGTCCCGACATTAGATTAATTTAAGAGAAGGCTGAGCTCCATCTGCCACCTGCCAGGAATAAGGGTCAAGGGAGAAGCTGCCTAAAGACCTAACTAGCTCTAGCTACCACCTGCCCGAGTGCTTGACTGTGGGTCAGAACACCCACCAAGCTCAAGTCTTCTGCAGTGACTCCGGTGGCCACCACCTCCACCAGGTGGAATTCAGTAAGGATCGGGTTTGTACAAGGGATGGTAGGGTGAGGTCCCACTGCACAGAGGGCCCGAGCTGGCTCGGAGCCAGGCCACTGCCACCACTCTTTTCCACTCCATCCATCTCCATGACAAAGGAAGACGATGGCCTTTGAATAAGCAGTCTTGCTTCCCATGTCGATGATCTCGAGTACTAGAAAGTGATGAATAAGTCTGTGGTTTGCTATGGAGGTTCCATGTCAGATAAAGTTCCTTCCGATGCCTACCCCCTCCCCCCACCGCCCCGCCCCTACAAGTTGTAAGCGCATATAAGGTGGAGGCCACTGTGGCTTCTTCAGAATCCGCTTGAAGGACCCGAACGAGACACAATGGTTCTTGCCAGCTCCACCACCACCAGAGTCCTCTCCATGCTGCTCCTGCTCACGATGCTGTTCCACGGGGCACTCCAGATTCCAGTCAGTCCCTCAGCTCCCTCGGGCACAGCCAGCACAATGAGTTGCTCCTCAATTGCCAAGGAGATTATGAAGAAGCTCAACGTGAGTATCTGGCTGAGGTTGGCCTGGTGAAGGCTGCCTCCGACGGGTGCCTCAGGTCCACAAGCTCCTTGTTTCTTTCTCTCTGTGTCTCCACAGGCATCCCGACTCGATGACGTGGACGCCAGAGATCAACTCAGGGTAAGAGCTTGGCCCGGCTTTGGGGCATACTTGGGTCGCATCCATCTCCTGCCTGGGTGACTTCAGCCATGTCACACTCCACTCTGCCTTGTTCAGTGTTTGCATCTGTCTCAGTGGGGCTGTCAAGGGAACCACCAAATGACTCTCTAGGCCTTACCCTTACTTAGCTGGGGTTCAGAACATGCCACAGTCTTGGCTGGAAAAAGGAAAGTTGTATTTTAGGATATACGATGAAATGACAGCTATGGGTGAACCTGTCACAGGCCTCTGGCTCCACGTTCAGTGGGAAGCCATGGACTGGCAAATGGGCTGTCCTCTGTGACCGCGTCTTGTGTCCTTCGCCCTCCTTAAAGCTGTTCGTGTTTTCCACTTCCACCAGCTCCAGACGTTATGTTCCCAGTTCCAGCCAGATGCAATGGCTCTGGCTTGTCTTCGTTTGCTTGGACCTAACATGAAGTCCTTTCCAAGCCTGCTGGATGTCTACCTGTCCCCTCCTTGGGGGCATGCTAGGGTCCACAAGGGTTTTCTTCTAGGTGTCTAGAAATTCTTGTTTGGGTTGAAGCGTTAACCGTGGCATCTGGCATCTTCGGCATAAGTATTTCCCCTGGCCAATTCTCTGCCTATTCCAGAGCTTGTCTGGGGAGGTGTGTTTTCCTCAAGTACAGACAAATCTGCCCAGGCCCTTCACACAGCCCACAGACAGCCAGGGGTTAGGACTTGGTGCTTGGGAGGGGCAGGTCCTTGCCTGGGACATGCACTTGCTCTTGGGTCCCAAGAAGGGACCAGGAATGAGGCTGTTCAAAGAAACCTCTAACAGCAGGCTCCGCTCCCTAGCTCTCACACTCCTTAGCTCTCACATTCCCCAGCTTTTACCTCCCCAGCCCGCCCCCGCAGCTCTTACATGGAGGATTCTTTGCCCTCTCAGAATAACGACTCGCAGAGAGCAAACCTGTGCGAATTCCTGAAAATGAGAAATCAATTGAATATAAAGGATATCAAGACCAATCTTGAGGTGTGTGGAACTGCTAAGGTCTTAGGGGATCCCTGCCTTCATTCTTCCCAGCATTTGGTGCGGAGGGAAGCATGGCCTGATCCTTTTTTGAGGGATCTGACTGTGTCTTGGTGTCTCTCCACAGAACCTTGAGCGTTGCCTGCCGGTTGTGAATACCTCCAACGTAAGCTGCTCTTCTCTCTACATACCCTGTAGCTAGTGTCTTTACCCATAACCAGACTTATAGCTTGCTATGGCCCTCAGCAGCCTGTTTACCTCTAATGCCATTTTCTCCGGTCCTTCACAGAAGACAGGCATCTTCCTTGAAAATAATCCGGATGACTTCCAGACGAAACTAAAGTACTATGTGAGCCAACTTAAGAATCTGCAGCTAACACCTCGTCCAACATCTGACTCTGCTTTCTGCCCCGAGTCCAAGGAATGATAAAACAACAGATCGACTGGAATCTGAATGTCCCTCTTGGTCCATGCCAGGAGGGAGATTTCATTTTGCCCCATAGCATCAGATGTATGATCAACTTATCTACTCTCTGAATTATGTTCCCAGTTTATTCCATCGAGGCTATTTATTTATGTATTTATGTATTTATTTATTTATTACCTTCTGCAATGTGAAGTATATCTATTTTAGCCAAGGAGTGGTTTCTCCATGTTTTGAAAGAAAAAAATGACTCCAAGGGAGATGGGGACATGTCCCTTTGTTCCTTGTGTTTTAACAGGCTTTTAAACACTTGTGGAAATGAATAATAAATTATTATATAAATAATAAATTATAATAAATAATTTTGAACAAATGAGCTTTTTTTGGTCCAGTGTCTTAGTTTGGCTTCGTCTCTGTGACAGTCTGGGTGAGACTTGTGGGTCATGATCTTTGGGTGCAGGATAGAGCCTGCCCCCTGAGCTCCTTCTCCTATCACATTCCTGCCATCCCCTGCACAGAGGAATGACCTCAACTCCCACATCACAAGCAGCCACACAGCATGCAACGTGTGCCAGATCTTGGTCTGGACATTTAACCTGTGCTATTGAATACTTCCCTCCTCCTAAACCAGAGTGTGCGATTTCTGTTTTATGGGAATACTGAAGTCCAGTGTGGCAAAGCAATGGCCCAGTAAACACAGCTTCTAAGAAGCGCCCCAACTCTAGGACTCAGGCTTGGCTCCTCTGGATCATTATGCTGAGGACTGAAATCCCATGGAATGCCACCCCTAGTGGTCACGTTTAAAACTGCAACAGTACCCGCAACTCCTTCCCTAATGGAAACCTGGTACCAGTCTCTGAATTTCCCACATGGTGGTGCCCTCTGACTCAGACTCATAAACTGTACTCTTTCCAGAAGTTTCCATGCCTACCTGGGCTTCCGGCTTCTCTTGGCTGATTTAGTTTTCCTACCTCCGTGCCTGACTCCAGACTGACCCTGGGATACATGGCCTATTGAGCCAGACTGAGCTTTTAAAATGCATCTTTAACCATTAACCCCAAATCTTTGGGGCCTTCATGGGCTTGTCCACCAGTCTGTATCCTAAGTCTGTCAGGTACGACCCTCCTTCATCTCTTATACTTCCCCATGTTTATGAACCTCTTGGGAGCGCCAACAAATGTGGCTTCCCAGACCTTCCCCCTACCTCAAACCCCTCACCCACCTTAGCTCAGTCCTACTGTAGGACCAACACTGCAACTTCTGAATTGTCCAAGTTGACTCGTGAGGGGCTCTTCTCTGAAAGGGAAGGGCAGACAGCTTATGATATCCGGTTCCAGAAACCAGCCTGGATGGTGGAGACTTGGGATTCAGTCTGCCGCCTGACTTTTTGGTCCTGTGTATCTCCCTGTCTGGCTCCCTGAACCCTGCCTGGTGAATCCTCAAGCCTAGGAAATGGGCTGGGATGGGGGCGGGAGGAGGGCAACAGGACAAGAGGCCAGATAAGCCTTCCTCCTCTGTCACCTTACTAGGAAGTAGTAGCCTCCCTGATTCCTGAAGAGTCCCCTAAAGGCAGCTTTGGGGACTGACACCAGACTCTGGAGCTCATTCCGCTTTATTTTATTTTTCTTTTCTATCTTTATCTCCTTAAGTTCCAAGTGAGGAATAGCCCAGTTGCTTGAAGATGTATGAGGATGTGGGCAATTTATCTGCTACCAGCTCAGAAATGTATTCTTCTACATCCCTCCTCCCAAGTACACTTTTAAATTCCCAAAGAAATAAACCTCTTCTCCCTCCCTCCTCCTCATCCTGACATACTCCAGTGCTCAGAGGGCAGAGAAGAGACATTACTGCAGTTCTTGAAATGACCACTAGGTGGAGATATGCCCCTAGTCTTAGGGTGCACCTAAGAACTATGGGGAAGATGGGGTCGGAGGCGTCCAGTTAACTTGGAATCTAGACCGGATTCCCCAATCCTCCTGAGTGTCCACTTTTACACACTTGCCTTCACTCACAGATTTTTTTTGGGGGGGAGGGGGTCTGGTTCTATTTTCAACCTGAGATGGTATCTGTGCTCCCCTCCATGTCCCTCTGATGAGTCATAGCTTGCTTTCCTCTGTGGTCTGCTACCTGCTGTTTCTCCCATAACTAGTCCACAGGGCCAGAGTCAGTGGTGATCTGAGACCAGCTCATACTGGCTCATGGAGCCAAGTGTTAAATGTTTAAAAAGGAAATTCTAGAACTTCAGGGTAAGGTGGTAGATTAGAAGCAGCATGTGTGTGCAGAGATGAAAACTAGATAAAACCACAATAGATCTATTCACATATGAAAAGGAGCTAAAGAAAACAGAAATAAGCTGACTAGGAGTTTCTTCACAAAGAAGGAGCCACGTCAGCCATAACTCCGCTCCTGCTGGCCAGCTGCAAATTGAGGGTAGGTGGAAACCCCAAGAGCTAGAGAGAGGGGGCCCAGGCTCTGGAAACATAACCAGAGGTTGGATAAAGCATGCGTAGATTGTGGCTGGTACAACTCAGAGACCAGAGGCTGAGACCAGGAGATGTCCACCGGAAGAGACAACATCCCCTCCCCCACCACTGCCTGTGAGCTGCACTGGACTATGAGAGTGCTGTGGGACCTTGATGGCACACAAAGGTAAGTTCATGTGTGCAGGCCTCACACCCTCTGGAACCTGCCACCCAAAGCCCCGGGGCCTTAAAACACACCAGAAGCAAGATTGGAGCTTGCAAGCAGCAGGCCTCAGAGCAGGGGATGCCGGCAGAGGGTGGATTTTAGTGGCTGAGATCTTCCTCACTTGGAAGGACACACTGACTTGACTTGTTGAGACTAGCAGCCCCTCCCCACTTGTGGAGACCGATACACCCACAGTCCTTTTTCTGCAGGAGTTTCTCTGCTCCTCACAACTCAAGCCTGAGGCTCTCCTTCTCATTCCTACCTCTCACTATCTCTTTTCTCCTTTCTCCATTTCTTCCCCATTTCACCAGTTACACCTTGATCCCCTTAGCAATAAAAGAAATGATAAAACACACTTTCCCCAGCCGGTGCCTGGGAATGTGGTATCCAAAATTTATTAGGGACACCCCCCCACCCTCAAGTGCACAAATGTCTTCTGCATGCCAACACCAGGACAGCTGTTAACTCATGTATGTTACCAATGTTGCCTCCCTTCTTAATAACAGCAGGTGTCGCCAGCTCACCAGGAAGACTCTCATTAAATAAAACCAGGAACAAGAGGAGTAGGGGAAGGTAAAAACTGAAGGACATATCTATCCTGGCAGACGCATAAAAGACAACCAAGAATCACCCAAACGATGAGACTACACCCGTTCCAGCACAGTCGCTAGCTCACAACTCCTCTGTCTGAAGAAAATGAAACAGCTGAAATGCTAGAAGATCACAGAGTCCAACCTCACCTCGGATAAATAACTACATAAAGCTCTCCCCGGCTCCCACCGCCCAAAGCAGTGAAGAAATCAATGCAGGACTGAAACAAAATGATCAGTAACTTGGAGGAGAAACTCAAAACCATGGAGAAACAAAAATCCAGCAAGGACATTGCAAGACTGAAAAAGAACCAAACAGAAAAGTTTAGAAACGAAAGAATCAATAAATCAAATTAAAAAGACAGTGGATGGGGTGGCGAGATGGCTCAGTGGACAGAGGTGCTTGTGTGAGGGTCTAAGAACCCAGGTTTGATCCCTGGAACCCACCCACAAGGTGACAGGAGAGATCCAACTCCCAAGAGTTGTTCTCTGACCTCCACACTTGCACTGTGGCACACATGCGGCTGCATTCACACACACACACACACACACACACACACACACACACACACACACACACTTTAAAAATCAGAGTGGACAAGAACAAGCTGAAGAATGAATTTCAGGGAGAGAGAACAGGTCATGATAACACATGCAGATATACATAAAGATGACATGAGAAGACATGGCCCAAACTTCCCAGAACTCAGGTATACATTCAAGAGAGCAAAGACTGAAGGGGCAGTAAAAACTCTCCCAGGAAAGAAAGTCCCGAACTTCAAGGGCTCACTGTCAAATTCTCCCAGACCCTTGAAGAAGCGCTAACTCCAATCTCCTACAAACTGTCCATAAAACAGAAAGGAACAGTTAACAGAGAATAACAGCACTACGAAATTCACTACAAACCCAGGATTGCCCTGACATCAAAGCCAGATAAGGATACAACAAACAGTTCACTGGCCAGTTTCCCTAGTGAACACACACACACACACACACACACACACACACACACACACACACACACAATTTCCAATAAAGTATTTGCAAACTGAATTCAAGAACACATTAAGAAGATCATATACCATGACCAGATTGGTTTCACATCAAAGATTCAAGTTTGGGTCAACATACACAAATCAATACGTACAGTACACCACACAAATAGACTTAAAGACAGAAATAATACTATCATCTCTATAGGTCCAGAAAAGGTGTTTGACAGAGTTCAACATGTCTTCATGATGAAAGTTCCAAAGTCATTCAGAAGGAGCATACCTCAACATAACAAATATTACGTGTAGCAAACCTGTAGTCAACAATGAACTACAAAACTGAGAGCATTTTTTTCAAAACCTAGAACAGGATAAGCATGTCCACTTTCTCCACTCTTATTCAGTATAATAATTATTACACTGTTTATTATTTTTATTAATTATTATACTGAATAAAATATATAATATACAATTATAATATATATAAAGCATAATAAACATAATAATATTATTAAAGTCCTAGCCAATAGGCAAAGGAAAAAAATAAAAACAGCTATAAATAGAGAATAAAGAAATCAAATTAGCCTTATCTGCAGATAGCATGAATATGCTTAAAAGACCTTATTTAGAGTTTCCGGGCGGTGGTGGCGCACGCCTTTAATCCCAGCACTCGGGAGGCAGAGCCAGGCAGATCTCTGTGAGTTCGAGGCCAGCCTGGACTACCAAGTGAGTT